TTTTAGAATATCGGTATCTGCCCGATATGTAAAACTGGGATGATATTAAAATCCAGTACTGATTTCCCACTTTTTAGCTTTGTGTTTCTGTTTTGGGAGGAGAGATGGTTGGTTGAGTGGTATCTGTTTGATCATGATAGTGATATTGATGCTGCGCAGCCAGGAATAAATGAAGTAGAGCCATGTCAGAGGTCTGGTTGTTTATTTACAGTATCAAAAAAAGATCCAAGTGTGTTTGTGTGTATATGTATAAAGTAGTTTGTGTGTTTGTCAGTAAATATCGGTTATCAGCCAAAACAGCAATAATTATATTGGATATCCATATCGGCTTAAATTTTCWTWTCGGTGCATCCCTAGTCAAATCTTGAAAGAAATAGATTGATGTGAGATGTCACACTCAGACTGTGTTTTTGGGAATGACTTTCAGCTACTACTACATCAAATTTTAGCCCAATATCTGGAAAAATTACTGAATTATGTGTGTTTTTGCTGTTTAATTTAGTTTGTACTTCACCAATGTGTGTATTGCACATTCCGTATCTCAGGCTGATCCACATGTGTAGTTTTTGTGCTTCGGTACTTGTGCTTCTTGTTATTGGTATTTCTGTTTTTTTTTTCTTTATATTTTTTTATGTTAAAACCGACTTTTTTCTCTTTTGTTTTTCTATTCTATCATATATTCTGAATTTCCCCACTGAGGGACTATTCTATTCTATTCTATTCTATTCTATTCTGTTCTATTCTATTCTGTTCTATTCTATTGACGAAGCTAAAGTAGCTGTGGTGACCATCTTGAATTTGGTTGATGTCAAAGGTTAATCAGATGTACATCCAATGATTGGTGTGTGAGATATTTTGCTAACACAGAGACACATGCACTCACACAGACAAGGACAGAAATCATTACCGCTCACCTTTTTGCCTTTCCACAGGATAAACACATATCAGTGGCGAATCCCCTCATCCAGTAGAACATGATTTCGAGGTGACAGCAAATGAGATGGAAACCTTCTTTGACATGAAATCATCGTGAGAACAAACGATTTAATCATGCTGACAAAAATCAGTTGTGAGAGGTAGAGGAAAAAAACAGAGGGTGKGAGGAGGAAAAGAAAAAAATGATGCAAGTAAAAGAACTGCTTAGATCTTGTCCACTACCATAACTCATACGTCACACAGCCATGCGCAAATTAGGACCTTGGAGTCAACATGAGCGCAAATAATTAAGTTGAAATATTAATGGAAGAACGTTCGCACCAGTGTGCAGCTCGTGATCAATTTGGGATTAATGAGTCGCTTATCTTGGCCCAATCCCGGCTCTCCTCGATGCCGATGCTTGCTGCGGGAGGGGGGGGGGCTACGTGGTGACATCCTCTACATGTAAATGTGCAAATGATCCTCTATATGTAAATGTGCAAATGATCCTCTAAACAAAATCAGCTCTTCCTGCGCTGGATTGTTCATGGCTGAGAATCAAAATAGAAATTAGCTGTGGATAAACCGATGTTATCGCCCGCCGCCGCACGGCGAAGGTGGACAGTTAGGTTTCTGTCTCTGTGTGTTTGTCTTGTCACTACACTGGCCGCTGGACAAATTTTAATGAAACTAGTAAAAAATAATCATTGGGTGAACATCTACAGCTGATTAACTTTTAAGATCAATCCAATTCCAAAGGTGTATAAAGTACTTGAAAAAAATGACTAAGTAAAAAAACCGTAACAGAAAATGACTTTGGTAAAAAAGAGTATTCACAGACAAGAAAACTGCATACAATGATCTGGAACTTTTACACACACTAAGAAATAGTCCTTTTTTTTCCAATTCCATTACTCATCATGGTATCATAGTACTGATACTTGGATCAATACACCCACCCCTACCTTCAAGAAACACCTAAAAACCCACTTCTTTACTCAAGCTTTTAGCTAACCATTCACCATTAATGGCAGCCTACCCTATAGTGAATGCTCACCAACTATATATTTTTGTATCATTGAACACACGGCCTAATTTTCTCGTCCCCCTTCTCTCTGTTTTAGTATTATTGTATATTTAGCATGAATATCACCCCCCCCCCTTTTTTCATTCAACAATTTTTCTTATTGTGATTTGTACAGTCTTACATGCATAACACTCATCTCTTGTCATGCTCTGCCTCGACCGTGTGTCTGAGTTACAATTTTACAATTTAATCTTGATTTGATGTTTCATTATGTTGTTTGTTTTATTATGTTTTACGTTCCGTTTCATTTGATCTTTCCACCATTTTTACATTGTTGATGATTGTACAGCACCTTGTGAATATATTTCTGTGAAAGGCTCTTTATAAATAAAACTTTACTTACTTACTTACTTACTACAGTATGTGATAGCTTTATTATTAGCTCATCAACATTATTTGTCTGTTAGCAATGTATTTCATGAACTACTTGACAGATTTTGTTAAAACTCTCAGAAAACAGTTACTGGCTCTACATCCTGAACCATTAAACTTTGGAAATCAACCAAAATTAAAAAGGCCAAAAGAAAATGTCTACAAATCAGTCARTTTTACAGATACTGAGCTGTGAAATCTGAGTCACAACAGAGTGAGTCATTAAGAGTGCCATTTTATGATATCACATTGGATCATGTGTAACATTGTTTTTAAAAGGTTTGACTGAAATAATTCCAACTTGGTCATTTCTCAACAGATGATTTTGGTCTAAAACAAGAAATGTTAGGATTTTAATTTGGAAAAGTGTTGCAGGTTTAGTTAAAAACACTTTCTTGTTTTATTTGTGTCTGTCTTTGACCTCATTAGGAACCATGTGGTTTCAGTGTGGTTATGGATTTTTTTGAGGTGGGCCACCATGGACATGACACCTGTGTACAGCAGTCACATCTCCGTCTTTCTCCATTTTATTCATTAAGGACCTTCTCCTCTATTCTGAAGCTGATTAAGCCTGACCTGACCAACCTAGTGCTGCTACATCCAATCAGTCTAATCACTCGAACACTTGCCTCCCCCACCTTCTTTACACTAATGGGCTTTCCCTGCTCTGGTGACTTAGCACTTAAAAGGTGGAAGTAAGGAAGCAGGGTGGTGGAAAGTTGTTGCTACTTCAGGAAAACCCTGTTAAAACTTCTTAACAGAGTCGGTGATGTCCTTCGCTTTACATACGGCTTGTGTGTTTAAGAAAAAGCCACTATTTTCAGCTCCTATGATTGGAAGATAACTCAGCTGCCAGCATGCCTTTGTAGGAATTTGCATCACCTCCCAAAGGGCAAACAAATTAATGAATATTCACACTTAATCTATAGCCCACGGTAGGCATGCATTATTCATAAGTTGTTGCTTTTTTTTTGTTATAGCGCACATGCTTTGGATTTGTCATCACAAATCATGATTTAATTTTCCCCTCACTTTATTTTCTGACATATGTGAGCGATGGCGTTTGTTAAAGGCAACCTGCAAATCACAACACATTTTCTCATATCTTTTTATCAACATCCCTGGTTCTGAAAATGTTGGGTTGTTGTTTAAATTGTAAACAAAAACGGATCTCCTAAAACCCATATTTGATTCACAATGGAACATAGCAAACATACCAAATGTTCACACTAWTGCCCCTTTTCCACTAGCGCCTCTACAGCACATTCGACTTGGCTAAACTCTGTTCCATAACACTTCAGTAACAGCTCTAGTGGGTGGGTTCATCGTAAAGTTGGGCAGTCCCAGAGTCCGAAAATTGAGGCCACACCCCTTACCAGCTGGTGGCAGTTATGCTCCAATAGGCTACCATTAAACATAGTTGAAGAAGAAGAAGACCCTGAAAAGATACGCAACACAACAATGGAGGGCATGGCAGTGTTGTTATTGCAAGTGGTAGATAGGGTTATTGTGAGAGTAGCTCTTGTGACACAACCAGTGACTCAACCCCCTGACCAATCAGTGATCAACAGTCTTTCTGACGTGTTTTCAGGCCAGCACGGTACACTTGGAACCACAGCGAAGTAAGTTCTGAAAAAGGAGCTGGTTTCACAAATCCTTGCTAGTGGAAAAGCCTTGAAACCACTGAGATCCAAGTTGTATCGTTGTGTAGAGGTGCTAGTGGAAAAGAGGCATAAGAAATTTCAGCAGTTTTAAGGAATAGCAGGATCACCGATGGGTATCTAAAACAATGAGGCAGATTCATGCACATATATCATGTACATATATCACTGAAGCATCTCCTTTTGTTTTAACAGTCTGTTTTCATTTATATTTGACCCAATGTTTTTGGAATTGGAGTTGTAACAACATGACGTCCGTCCATCCATCCGTCCGTCCATCCATCCCAGTTTATTTATGTATCAGTCTAAGAAAACCAGCAGATTGAGTAGAATCACTTAATCAGTGTTTCCCACAGTGAGCAACACATGGGTGACAGTGGAAAGAAAAAAAGTCCTTTTTAACTGAAGGAAACCTCCAGCAGAACCACCAGGCTTAGAACAGGTGGCCATCTGCTTCAATGGCTGGGTTTGAGAGGACAGGAAARAGACACAGACAAACACAGGACAACTAATCCAGGTGTRTTTTCYTCTAGAAGAGAGACAAAGAAAACACGTTATTGATAGAAATAAATACAACATGTAGAGGAGAGTGACTAAAGACAGCAGCAGAGTGAGGAARYGTGGTYCATKTGTCCTCTAGCAGTCTATAGCAGCAGAAATAAAGAATAACTCAGGAAATCAACCCWACTATAGGATTTATCTAAAAGGAAAGTCTTAAGTCTTAAAAGTAGACAGAGTGTCAACCTCACGGACAGAAACTGGAAGTTGGTTCCACAAGAGAGGAGCTTGATAACTGAAAGCTCTGCCTCCCATTCTACTTTTAGAAACTCTAGGAACCACAAGTAAACCTGCAGTCTGAGAGCYAAGTGCTCTGTTAGGAAAATATGGAAYAATAAGATCTTTGATGGAGCTWGGTTGTTGAGARCTTTGTATTCTTCCATTTTATTTCCTGCTTTTCCATGCAGGGTTGCAGGGGAGATGGAAGAAATCCCTTTTGGATTCAGATTTTTATTGGGTTTTCATGTCAACCAAAGACCTGAGCCACTGCTAAGCTGCAGAGCTGCAACAGTGAGGAGGTAAGCAAGACAGGTGCCATCTTGGATCATGACAGTCTGTCAACAAGCAGAGTAGACTTAAACTTCTGCTATGGTGTGCCTGAAAACGCYGGTTCTTTTTCCATTAAAACATCACAACTGAGACTACTTATGTCTTCAAAAAAACTGACAGTGTCTGAAAGGCTATCACTCACAAGTTGGTCGAATACCTCAGCAAAAAAAATTTAAAAAGAGCGGGGAAATAGCAACGATGCTTTATTGTCCGACGCAGCGAAGAGAACCTCTAAAAGGTTTCTGCATTAGGGAAGGAGAACGTTGGGTGACATTTTAAAAGCCTCGACTGACACTCAACAAAATTGGTCTACCTTCTTCCACTCAATTGCACCAGTAAGTCCAATTGCATTAGTGATGCACAAATTTTTCCATAAGAAAAAGAAAAAAAAATCACAATGCAGCTGAAATGGGGTGTACAGAGTCAATGCTTGAAAGGTGTTCTTTTATAGTGCAAAATAAAGTTTCTTGTTTGCATAAAATAATGAAATGCCTAGCATCACATGGAGTTTTATTAAAAAGCTTCCACTGATTCATGAGATATTTTGCTAATTCTACAAACATTTGCGCACAAAGACAAGAACACGAGTATAAACATGGCGTCTTTGGTGGAGGGTGATAAAATTAAATCGGTGTTATCTCTGACCCAGAGACTGCTGCGCTCTAAAAAAAGACTAAAGAAGTCTTTTTCAAACACATGATTGGAAGTAAACACCGAGGAGGCCATTGACCTTTCATTATAGCCCCTGATAAGTTCAGCGATCTCCCTTCTCTGCTCTCTGCCCCAAATGTCAACTCTCTGTGTGTGTTATAATTACCCCAAGTTGGTATTTTCCTCCTCCTTTACGTTTCAATGCATGGAGACTCAGGGGTTAGCAGGGGAAACGTCATATTAAGTGTGATGTTTCCTGTTAATTTAGCTGTTCACAGGAACTTTTTTTCCCCCGCCCTGTTTTTCCCCTCAGCTTTCCAAAAATATTTCTAAAGATGGAAGGCAGTGTTGGAGTGTACCTCCCCAGAGTCGAGAGCTTGTAGAAATGCTCTCATTAGGAGCTTTCATGCATGGATAAATAAACAAATGCTAATAAACTCCTAATTATTTTCTCTCGGCACATGTTGAAGTAAGATTTTGAATATTAACGTCGGACCAAAAAAGTAGCACAGTTACATCCCTTTTTACACAGATGTTACTTGAGGTTGTTTAAAGGAAGCTCTTTTTGGAGGTTTTTGATTGTAAGAGTAACGTCTTAAAATGAAAAGTTTCTGTAGCTGTACTTACATTTTATTGATAATGTTATCCTTGCTAGCAATCAGTTGTTCTTTTCCAGTTCAAGGCAAAAGGTTGAAATGTTTTTGCTCATGTAGGCATGTCACGATAAGCRATAAATTAATTAATCGCATGATAAATTGAAAGGAAAATAATTTCCATTTGCCWTTTTGTTTGTTTTCTTCTGAACTGTCATGTCAGGTATTTGCCAGGTGCAACCTTTGTAGCTTTAGCYAGAAGAGTGTCTTTGGTTTTCTGGTGTTTTCTTACAGCTGGCTACACATAAGGACGTCCTCATGGTACCATGCCAAACCTTGGGCTTGCTGATTTTTTTGTAATTTTTTACACTACGTAAATTTCGTAAACCTCCGTAAACTTTGTAAGCAGCATGATAGTGATGTACCGTATTTATTCATGTATAATATGAACTCATGTATAACACGACCCCCCTTTTTTGAGCTTAAAAAGCATAAAAAATTTAATCCTCAAACTACCTCCAATTTCATACAGACTTCAAGATTTTTCAGCCGTTGCAGTCTTTATACATATCAGTAAAATGATCATTGGACTGTTCATTTTATTTTAACAACATATGTACTCAAAGGTATTTTGACAACAAATATATATCAGCTGTCACAGCATCAAATGAATTCTGGCATTTTACACATGGTCCACCAGGATGTGCCAACACAAAAGTCAGAGACTTCACATGAGATTTGGACCATCTTGTGGGGGAAAAGCAGATTACTTCCTACTTGCTAGCGCCCCCTCTGGTGGGGAAACTTTTTTCAGGGATACAAAATTTTTCAGAACACCGGTAGACTGCAGCTATTACAGACGAACATGTGTTTGTTGTTGTTCCAGCAGCGGCTCGGTCACACGCTAATGTCATTAGTTTGTTATCATTACTAAGGTGAAGGACTGCTTCCCCCTTTTTTTCACATCATGTCRCCTGCTTGGATCTGTTATTATCTCGCTCTGACACGAAGGAGTGTCASAGGTGAGCTCGTTTCAACTGATTTTTACAACGCGGTCTCATTTCCGGACTCAGGCATTTTGCCAATATTTCAGTTGAAATACATAAATAAAAATATTTATCCGAGTATAATACTACCCCCCAACTTTATGGATGATTTTATGGATTCAATTTTACATATTATACTTGAATAAATACGTTAATTATTTTATGARGCCAGAGGAAGACTCATTCAGAATAAATTGTGCCAACTTAGATATAAGAGGTGGTGTTACAGTTTCAATAGTTGGGTGCTGTGTGTTGTTTTACAAACTCAGCCCCGAGTCTGTCTGTAACTTTACAGAAATTAAAGTTCTATAAATTTTGTAACCAACCTGAGTGTGACCAACTGAGTGCACTTAAATTTCATAAACATCCGTAAGCTTTGTTTGTTAGCATTTGTTAGGGGATCATTAAATTAGTTTAAAACAGTTTCTAAACAATAATAYCRTTTATYGYAATAATTTCGGAGACAATTTATTGTCCATCAAAATTTGTTATCGTGACAGGCTCATGCGTGTTTGTTTGTTTGCAATGTTAGCAAAAGATGATGGCCACTGCAACTAATTGACCTTAGGAAACACAAAAAGTGCTATAAATACTCAGCTAACTTTGATGTTGATGTAGTCTGATGCTCAAACACATCTTGTCAAATCACACAATATTGTGTAAAACTGTGCATAAAGTCATTTATAAGGTTTSACCAAAACTCCATCCCTTCTCATCATAAAATRATTTTAATCTAAATTTCTGCCTTGAATTCCTTCAATAATTGCAAGGCTTTTTATGACTGAATGATCTYAGACTGATCACTTTTAGTTTAAAAGATTTTTTTAATTCAGTATATCTTTAATTCATGAAACATATTCATGATGGGAAAATTAAAATGAAGAGCTCAAAAACAAACTACACGATACCTTTTTTTTTAAATTATTCATTTTCTAAATGCAATTTGCTTCTGTGAAAACTGATGCTGTATCTCTGTAACTCTCTCCCTCCTTCTCAGTCRGTGTCTTTTTGGTTCAGACTCCGTCAGTGGAAGGAAAAGGGAAAAAAAAAAAGCTGCGTTGATAAATAGGTCAGAGAGCTTTTCCACCCCCCAATGGTTTCAGACGCAGCTTGGCAAATTGAACATAATTAAGGCCCAAGGCAAAGGTTGCACTTTCCTTGAAATAGTGATAGGAGTGGAGCAGAAAGTAGCCTGTTACAGGAGGAAACATGCTGCAATGCATGTTCACTACAACATGCCTGCACACCAAGGAGCTGAGGAGAAAGGTTAGAAAGTGAGACAATAGCTGCTTTTAAAACGTCCTCTTTACAATCTCTCACATCCCATCATTTCTAACACACAAACACTAAATGGTTAGAAGGAAACAGACATCCTAAACAAATGCAGTTGTTTTTTTTTAGGCAGCAAATTATCAGTGTATCTTGATACCACCTGTGTTTTACATCATCTTTTCTCTGCTTATGGGTTCCTAMACTTCTTGAAAAGCATTTAAAACCTAACCTGACAGCAGACGATTTGTTATGCTGTGCCATGTGGAGTGTTAGTTATGGAAACTGTTTGAAAAAGGGCACCTGCTTTTAAAAAAATATCAACTTTGCAGGTGATTGGATGAACCATTCATCCATCAGAGTCATAAGTGAACTTTACCAAACCAGCTCTCTCAAACTCAGGTCAGGAAAAGATGTAGACCATCTACAAAAGCCTTCAGTTTCACGTTTTTGCTCTTCTTTTAACAAATAATTATTTTTCAAATAATATGTCTCCAATTGTTTGAAGCCATACATTCATTTTTAAGCATGTCTGTTAAAGTTGCAGATTTTTACATTGTATGATTGAGTGAATCATTATTTTTTGTCGTCATAGCAAAAGCTCACCTGTAGAGTTCACAATGATTAAAAATAACTGTCAAACATCACAAGATGAATGACGTTCACTGACAAACACTTGCTCAGTATTTTTATTCTATTTATTTTATCTCTTTTTGAAAATCACTGACAACGCAGAAAAAAAGTCTTCAAAGTGAATTATGTAACTAAATTCAGGATTAAAAATCTTTCAAGCCTCCCTAAACTGCAGCTTGGTGATAAGGAAAATGCTGCTGAGAAATTTTAGAAAAGTTGCGCTTCCTRAAATTGATTTTCACAAGTGGAAGAAAAGCTGTGTTAACTGAATTGCTGTAAAAACTGGAAAAACTACAAATGGATTTTGATTAAAGAACAATTAACTAAAAAATAACAGCCATATCTGGGTCCAGATATGATGTTTTGGGTCCAGTTCTGGACCATGGTTTGCCATTTTAAGACCCCAAACACTGGGTTAGCAGTGAAATTTTGCACAGAAAGGTCTGCACTGTCGACCTTCTTCTACACCACTGCATTGCCCCCAAAAACATGCCTAAAATATGATGTTTGTTTTTAAGATCCTTCCTGCTCTGGACCGTGCTGCACCCATTCAGTGTTTCCGTATAATTTTCCACTCTTCACAGTTCGGTTCAGAGTAATCTTGAGGTGTTGTGACTGAGCTTGGACGCTCAGCATCATTAGAATCCCAGCATCCTCTGCCGCTCCAAGGGCTTCATCTCGGTGGGGGTGGAGTGGGAGTCGAGGGGGGGCCAAGCTGAGCTACACAGGGATCGGACAGGTTAATGACAAGAAAGCTAGGTGAGGTAAGGAATCAGA